GAACTTGTTCCAGCTTTTCGATTGTTTGTTGTTGACTTCCTTCAAATAGTTTCCAATGTATGGCAACCCTAAGGCAAACCTATTACAGGATTTTCTTGGCAAGTTTCTTCAGAGGAGGTTTGCGCTTGCCATCCACTGAGGTTGAGAGAGTATGACTTGCCCAAGGTCAGCCAGTGGGTTTACATGGCCAAGCCAGGATTCGAATCCTGGTCTCCAGAGTCATAGTCCTACACTCAAACCACTACACCATGTTGGTTCTCAACATGTTTCTTAAAATTAGGTCCCCAGAACTGTATGCAGTATTCCAGATGAGGCTTGGCCAGTGCAGAATATAGGGGGACTATTATTTCCCTCAGCTTTGAAACTATGCTTCTACTAATGAAGGCTAAAATAGCATTTGCTTTCTTTGCTGCAGCATCACACTGGTGGCTCATGCCCAATTTATGTTCAAGAATAATCCCAAGGCCTTTTTTGCAGGTAGTACTGCTGAGCCATGTATCCCCCATCCTAAACCTGTGCATGTGGTTTGTGAAGTCTAAATGTTGAATTTTGCATTTATCTATATAGGATTTTATTTGATTATCTTCTGCCCACTTTTACAGTTTATCAAAGTCCTTTTGAAATTTGTTTCTATCTTCGATTGTATTAGCCACTCCTCCCAGTTTTATATCATCTGCAAACTTTATGTGGTTTCTTAGTCATAGATAAAAATGTTACGAGCAATAGCCCTAGAACAGAACCTTGAGGCACCCCATGTAACACCTCTTTCCAGTTTGAAGCAAAGCTATTCATGACTCTTTAAGCATTGTTTTCCAACCAATTATGGATCCATCTGACAGTGTTTCCATATATTCCATATTTAATCAGTTTGCTAAACAAAATATTATGGAGATCCTTATCAAATGCTTTGTGAAATGACATCCACAGCTTTCTACCATCTACTAAACTACTAAACTAGTTTGGCAGGATTTGTTCTGGCAAACCAGTGCTGGATTACCACACTAGCAGACAGACTACTGTATAATCTGTTCTAATATATTTCATGGTGCTGAAGTCAAGTTGATTGGCCTATAGTTTCCTGAATTTTCTTGTTTGCCTGAGTTAGGCAATTTGGGGGGCCCTGAACTACATCTTATAGCAAAATAACCTTTTAGAACACAACCTTCTTTCACACACATCAAATTTAGCCAGTGGTGGCATGGAAGGAACCACCTATTCCTATAAACAGAAGATAAAACTTAATTTCTCTGTTTTACTTAAAATTTTTGGAGGGTATGTAGTTGCCTTTTTATATCACTATTCTAAATTTTCCTATTAGCACTCCTGAAGGGTAGGATAGAAACATACTAAATACTGTTATGCTCAACTCCCTTTTCTAAGCAGTTAGGAATTCTAGGATGAGAGCCCATAGGCAGGCTGGTTTCATTTCAAAGGAGGTCACTGTAGGATTATTGACATTGTGCAGTATTTTATGGATGGATGCATTTTTGGATCACCAATCAACTGAATCCTCAGTCATTTTAAAAATGTGTAAGTGGCTTAAATACAAGGTAAAATCAAGAAACATCCAAAAGCATACTGAAAATAATATTAGATTTGTTGATAGCTGTTTTATAGGAGGGCAGTATAAAGATTTATAAAATAAAGAATCAAAATAAAAGGAAAAAAGGAAATATGGTTCTGGAATAAATGAAGATACAAAAAGCAATTTTGTACCTGAGATAATTTTGTAAATTTTTACGTACAGTGTGAAACTAGAAAGATGGAGGCCTACATTCAGGTATCAATTTAGCTCTGGAACTGAGGGGCTAAGCAGACGGGGCAAAGCGCCGTCTTCAGAGCCAGGAAGGGAAGGGGCAGCCACAAGCTGGGCACCCCAACCCCTTCCCCAAAACGGAGATTAGCTTTTTAGCCCACATTCTTTTGTGTGAAAAAGAGCAAGAAAGAAATTTTTGACAGGGGAGTTTTGCAGGAAGAAACTTTTGCATTTTGGAACAATGAGATAAGGTTCATAGAAGTCTGAAGATCATCACAAGGCATTTCCAGATGGAGAATTCATCATGCTAATAATTCACAACAAACCTTGGAAATATTAGTTTTGAGGACTTTTACTCCCAGAAAGCCACCTCTTCCTCCTCCAGGCAGTGTGACATCTGGCTGGAGAATGGTAAGAACTATAGTTCTAATAAATAACCTTTCCCCAGGTCAGGAGGCACCATGCCTCAAATTTATTTTTAAAATTGACAGATTTTTCAACAACAACAACAACAACAACAACAACAACAACAATAATAATAATAATAAATGGTGGGAAAAGTAGAGAAGGTTACAAGCGCTGGATGATAATGTCTGACACCTTTGTAAAATTCAGGGAAGGAGGCAGGACAGGTTGATGGCATGACAAAAGTGTTGTCTGGAATTGCTCTTGGTGGTTTCCATATGACTTCCAAATAACTATTGCATGGAATTACAGCCTCACAACTAGAATCTATGCTAGCAGATCCAAGAGTAAGTCCCACTGAAATCAAAATGGCTTACTCCCAAGGAAAGGTGCATAAGACTGCAGTCTTAACCCTATTTCTTGGAGAATACTTTTGGCCATTCATCTACCAACTGAAACAAATCTCTCTCCATTTGCATCTTTTCCCCTGCTATGTCTTTGCAGATTGTTAATCTTGTATTGCTGGCCAAGCTCCCATCTTTGCTGTTTGTTACAAGCATTTTACTTGGCCTGCTGTCAGACGCCTGCTTGATATTTCTTATGCACCAGATGATTACATCCTGCAGGCGTTCACTGTTTTCCATTTGTTTGCAGGCATATACAGTATTTGTTTCCAAAGCGAGGCTGACCTCTTGTTTAAGCTCAGGGTGTTTTCTTTTCTTTTTTACAAAAACAATTATCACATGCAAATAACCACAATGCAAGGACATAGGTACCCATGAAACCACACAACTCACATACGCGAACACACTCCTGTGGAAGATGTAACACTTTTGGATTATTCTGAAGCTGGAAGTTATGCTCCACTGTACATGCCATTTATGGATTTAAAGCTTAAGAGGATTTTTCATTATGGGTCTCACACAACTACACACCCATTGTAAAAAGATGTATTGGCAGACTAAATTCTCAGATGTGGCTGAAGAGGGACTTGGATGATAGAGCGGAAGTGGATTTTGCTCTAGAAGGGATTAATGTTTTCTTTTGTATTAATTAATAGGGGACATGACCCTGGGGGAAAATAATACAATCTAGTGGAGTGCAGTGAAGTTAAAGTACAGAGATCTGGGTTCAAATCATGGCTTAACAAAGCTTTGGGCAAGTCACTGTCTGTGAGTCTAACCTACTTTAGATGATGATGATGGAGGAGGAGGAGGAGGAGGAGGAGGAGGAGGAAGAGAAGGATTGGTACCTTGAGTTCCTGGAGAAACATGGATTGTAAATTATAAATGCCTGTTTGTCTATCACCAGGCTTGAGAGTGTTTGGAATAAAGAAATAAAAAGTCCTTTCTAGTGTATGTATGTTGGGTATTTTTTGTTGTTTTCCTGTCATTTGTTAGTTTCATTATTGTAGAAACTTGTATTTTACACTACTGAAAAAGATTCAGATTGAAATATATTTACGGTATTTGTGTGATATTTCTTTGCTCATATTATGGCACATTGTAGTGCAATGGATGTGACGTTGTATTTTTGGTGTGGTTTATTAATACCATGTTCCCTTAGAGAAAATACATTTCTTTAGTGTACAGATTTCCACTTCATTAAATGTTTGCATTTATTTTTATGTTCAACATTTTAAACCTATTTTTACATCTTAGTTTTGATAATGCAATTGTTTTCTGTGAGGTATAATTTCTTGTTTGTTTTTGTCCGGTCAACACCAAATAATTTCAGGATCAATGAAAAAGCTTTTGGTGCTATACCAAGCATATCACAATATCTGCCAGTTGTATGATCCATCCTCTAGCATATGGCAAAAGTACTGCCATCTGACAGAAACCCAAACATTTTGTTTGTCCATGATTTTTACTGAAAAACTAACTTTAGCCACCTCACAGCATAGATTAAATGCATCTGTTGCAGTTAATCAGCACTGGCTTTCTGTGGACAGCTCCAAGCAGGTTGCTATTGCATTCTTTTTCAAGAGTGCCTCCTAGCTCCTATTTTCATTGCCAACATATGTTACTTCTTCCTTTCTCTTTTGACTATATATGTCCCAAATTACTGAAGTTAAAACAACATAGAATCAGATAAATATATGTGCTAAAATCCATTCTATTCATTCCACTCCGTTATCACAGTCCATTATTTTATTGATTTAAATGCATGTCCAGTACACCCCAGTGGAGTCATGCTGTTAAAATATTTTGCCTTAATCCAAACAGTTTGAAATCATAGAATCATCGAGTTGAAAGAGACCTCAAGGTCCATTAGGTCCAACATCCTGCCATGCAGGAAGACATATTCAAAACACCCCCAATAGATGGCCATCCAGCCTCTGTTTAAAAACCTCCAATCCATGACATTAAGACCCATTTAAGTTCATTACATGGTGTTTGGTGCTTATCACTCTATGCTGTTATATTGTTATAGCAATGGATTAATCCCATTTTTTCCTCAGCTTTATCTCATGATTCTATCATTGTGCTGCAGAGTAATTCGATATTTTCCATGCTGGAAATAATCCATTAGTGAACCTATTTGCCACTATGGCTCAGTAACCACTCTGAGTGCAAATGTCTCATTCTGCTTTATTGAGAAAATGACTGGTTTGGTGTGGCTATAGTCTCATTGTTTTCCCCGGCTTGGGGATTCCCAAGGAAATCTCTGCTAAGGAAGCCGCATACTACTTTGGATGCCTGGGTGGGAAAGATAAGACTTCCCAAGAGAATAGGTGTGTTTCCTGGTCTCTTTTCTGTGTTCTACACTGTGGAAACCGTGTGTGTGTTTGTGCGTGCATGTGTGTGTGTGCGTATGTGTGAAGGAGAGAAAGAGAGAATGTATGGTGTAGTGGTTTGAGTGTTAGACTACAACTCTGGAGACAAGGGTTCATTTCCCTGCTCAGTCATGGAAACCTACTGGGTGACCTTGGGTGAGTCACACTCTCTCAGCTCCAGAAAACTCCTTGATAGGTTCCCCTTAAGATTGCCATATGTTGGAAATTACTTGAAGGCACATAGTAACAACAACATAAATGGTTTGCTGCTATAGTGCAATAATGGTGTGATTCTGTTAACTTTTGGAAGTCACTATTCAGATGTGTTTAACAAGTACTACGGTACTTTTTAACAAAAATATATTTTTAATGTTTTATTTTTAAAAAAGACTAGTGGTGCAATAAAAGTGTGACATCATGCTGTAAAACTGTTATGACTTTTTTTAAGTACAGGGAAACTAATCATGATGCAGCAGGTGGGGCAAACAGAGTGATTCAAACAGCACTGTCAGTGTTGAGGAGCTTATAGTGCAGAAATATAATAATAATAATAATAATAATAATAATAATAATAATAATAATAATAATAATAATAATTTATTTATTTATAGCCCACCCCTCTGTGCAGCAATCGGGTTACAGCATTTAAAAGAATCAGAATTAAAACATTCCCTCGTCCCACACCCCAACCCTCCCATCCCCTTAAAACAAGATTAAACCAAGAAAGAGTTAAAAACAACAATACAATAAAACGATAAAACAATACATGAGGAGTCAGCGATAATAAAACAGGAGAAGGACTCATCTCCCATCTAGCAGCAGTTATTCTGGGAAGGCCTGCCGGAAGAGATCCGTCTTTACTGCTTTTTTAAAAGCAGCAAGAGTAGTAATGAGACAGATCTCGTCCGGCAGGCCATTCCAAAGTCTAGGAGCGGTTGCAGAGAAGGTCCTCTCTAAGAAAGAAAACTCCTGCCTCGATTTCTTAGTGGAGAGAAACTTTTATCAACTCTGTGTATGTTTAACAAAAATCAGCAACTCTAGTACCAATCTGGAGTTTTACTGACCCACTGAGAAGTAGTGACATCTCAATAACACCAATAACACCACATTTCATGCAATGCAATGTCTGGAGTGGAGTCTTTTATGTCTTTTTTACCATGATAAAAAATGCCATGCATTTATAAGTGTGTGTTTCTCCCAAATGCTCAGCATAATACTTTTCTGAGTTAATTGGCTGAAAGCTCTTTCTTTCCCTTTCTTTCTTTCTTTCTTTCTGTATGTGTGTGTGTGCACGTGTGCATGTGTGCACATGTGTGTGTGTGTGTACTTCTGTAAAGCATGGGTTTTACTTTGTAGACTAGAGCAGCAGACGGATTTGTTCTTGCCCTAATAGTATGTTGTTATGTCAAATAAATATGGAGTCAGGATTCTAGTTTGTTAGGCAGCTGAGCAATGGCACTTTTTTGAATGAAGCAAAATGCCCTTGAATACACAGGAGTGGGGAGCACATGGCTCTACAAGATGGAGAAATGTATGCAAAGGAAATGGTTTAAGTACAGCATTCTTCACCCAAACATCCTCAAAATTACAAATTATGAAATGCAGACTGGAGGCAAAACAGGGCAAAACCTTTTCCAGTTAATGTCATCTCAAAAGCCAAGTTATTTTTTTTATTATAAACGTACATACAAACAAACAAAAACTGAATACAGAAAAAATAACAACATAGAAACATAACTTTACATACATACATCCATTCAAAATTATTTATCACTCCCACTCACTGTGACTTCCCAAGCTAGCAGAACTTTTATATCTACTTTCTCTTTCCCCCCAGCTGTTCTTATCACCTTAATTGTAATACCTTATTTAATTCTACTAAATTCAAGGATTATCTCATAAGTTCAGCATTATATATGAAATTCAAAATATGAATTATACAATTGTTTGATACTCCTAAATATCTAATTCTATCCCTATATTACATTGATCCCTTATATACTTTATTGTCTGTTCCCAACCTTTCCCATACATCATCTGATTCTCATTTCTTATAATACAAGTTAATTTATCCATTTCTGCCATGTCTATTAACTTTATTAACCATTCCTCCAATGTTGGAACTTCATAGTTTTTCTATTTTTGAGCTAAAAGCAGTCTCACAGCTGTTATCATGTAGAAAATAATCCTTGTGTTTCCAACTCCTATTTGATCATCAATCATACTTAGTAAGTACATTTCAGGTTTCATTTGAAATTTTATACCTAGAATTTTTTCAATTGATTAGTGTACCTTTATCCAAGTACCACTGGTGATAAAAAAAATTATTTCTTTTTTTGCATTTCCAACATGTATGATTTACCTGTTTGTACATTTTGGATAGGCTTTAGGAGGTAAGATACCATCTGTAATGCATTTTGTATATATTTTCTTTAATGTTCTGTGCAACTGAAATTCTCATTGTCTTCTTCCATACCTTCTCCCATTTCTCAAAATCAATAGTATGCTTCAGGTTTTGTGCCCATTTAATCATCTGAACCTTTATCACCTCATCTTCTATATCCCATTTTAATAATATTTTATAAATCTTAGATAATTTTTTTTATTTTTGCCTAATAGAGCTTTTTCTAAATCCGTTTTTCTTCTTTTACTTCCTGATTTTTTATTTCTATTTTAACCTTTCCCCTCATTTGTCTATATAGTAACCAATGGCAAGGAATGCCACTGCTATTTAATTTCTCTTGTGTTTTTAATCTGTGTTTCTTACCTTCAAAAGGTATGGTATCCAAAAGTAATCCATTTACCTTTCATTATGTTTTCTCTCTTATATAAAGCCTCATGTGGGGATATCCAATGAGGGGTGGAGGGGGAACACCTTTCCTTGTAGATTTTCCAAGTTTTCAGCAAAGCCCTTCTAATATAATGATTATTAAAATCTTTATTTGCTTTTTCTTTATTAAACCAAAGATAAGCATGCCACCCAAATCTTAATTCCTCCCCTTCTAAATTCAATAAATTTGTATTTTCAAGATTTGCCCATTCCTTGATCCATACCAAACATGCTGCCCGATAATACAATTTGAGATTTGGAAGACCAAAGCCTCCTCTCTCTTTAGTATCATATAAAAATGGCAAAAGGAAATCTCAAGATACATTTGGGCAGGGAGAAAACCCAGAATAAAGGAGAAAATTTTATATGATACTAAAAAGTCAAGTTATTTTTTTTTTTTGAATGAGTCCTTAGATTTTCATAAATACAGACAAAACAAACACACTTAACTTGTTATGTTTAATAATTTTTCTTTTTTTATCAGGCATGATAAGCCCAGGCCTCTTAGATTCAAAAAGGCCATCCTCCTTGCTATAAGTGTTTACAGAATTCTGCCACCACCACTTAATAGGAACATGGGACAAGGAGAAGGCAATTTCAAAACTACTCACACAACACCATGCTTTTTAAGCTATGAACATTCTATATGAAAAATAAGGCCAGGAAGGCCTAAAACAGAGAAGTGATGGACATGTAGAATTCCAGATGTTGTTGGGGGATAGTGCCCATCTTCTTTGACCATGGGACATGCTGACTAGGAGTAAGAGTCCAACAGCAATGGAAAACTGAGAGTTTCTAGCTCTGCCTTACAATGTGCTTTGAATTCCATAACCACACAATGTGTGTTGAATGTCTTCTCTGCCACAATCAACCTCCACCTAAGGGAAAGAGGTTCTCTGGTCAGCCTGAGAAAAACATACCTTTTGGAGGGAGGAGGACACCTACAATCCCTCACTTGTGCTTTAATCCTAACCCCTAGAGATGGGGAATCTTCCTAACATATTGCTAATGTTATCCCTTGTTGGGAATGGTGGGACTTCTGCACCACTGAACAATATTCCAGATATCACTCTTGACAGTGCCTGAATCATCCAGTAGTGAAAATGGGCCAGAAGGCAGAAAATGGTGCAGCATTCCAGAAAGTCAGACTGGTGTAGTGAAAACAAAATCCAGAGGTGGGAAATACTTTTATTAGCAGCACTAAAATGTTAAGAAAGTGTCTCACACTGTTATCTATTTATTGCTTATTTATTTTTGTTTATTTAATTTATATCTCACCTTTCTCCTGATGTGAGATCCAAGGTGGGTTACAACAATTATTTTAGCTACAGCTGAAACCTATTTGGTAACAAAGTGGATGTTAAAAAAAACAGTTCTATTAAAACCACTAAATTAAAACACATTAAAACATAGTTTTAAAAAGGGCAAAAGCAAACACACCTCATGAAAAGATCCTTGTGCCCCTGTAAGTTAAGTGCCAAAAGCCTGAATAAATATAGTTTTTTGGCTGCTGGCAGAAAAGGAAAAGACAAGGGGCTAACCCAAGTCTCCTGTGGAAGGGAATTCTACAACTTTTGAGTTCTCCAGACCACTTCATCAGGCAAAATTGTTTAAAAATCAGAGGAAAGTGGAACAAACAAACAAAAAATTAAAAATTGGCCCGGTTTCTTAGCACTTCTGGGTCTCTGTAGCTGCATGAGGAAGGCTGCAGGTTTAGGGAAGAGAAGTACTAAAGACTCTGTTTTCAGTTTACCAGGATGCACAGTTAATGGTTTCTTCCCTTGACTTCCACCAATTAGAAGGCTGGCTGAGACTCAGAAAATTGCAGATTGTCTTTTTCATAACTCACTGACTCCTGAGTTGGCTTACAGAAGAAGCCAGAAACAGCATGGTGGTGCCAGACCTGACTGTGCCTCATCTCAACAGTATCAACAAAGCTGGAGATTAAATTTAGGCATCATGCTAGGTTTAAAGGTCATCTGAAGCCAAACTTGTTTGAGGTAGCTAGAGCCCTCACATTCTTTAATGACTGTTTAACATCTCCTCACTCTGATGGTAAATCTAGCCCTAAGTGATTAATTGGATATGGATCAGAGAGCCACCCATACTCTATTAAAAAGAAGTCAAAATGAAATTTGAGAACAGGGGCACAGAGAGACTTTATATTTAAAAAAGAAACAACATATCAAGGAAAGGTGAGTGCTTAGGGACCAGAATCTTCTCCTTGAGTCATTAGATTCAGTGGCTAAACTCATTCAGGCTGACATACTTCACAGGGTTGTTGTGATGATAGTGGGAAGGA